CATTTGCTCTTCGCATAGATGAAACTCTGACATTATTTCTGATATTAAAATACCTTTATTTTTCTTTTAGGTTTTATTTTTATCCCTCTGAAAACATCTCCAGGGGTTGAAAGAGGAGTGGTTAGGTATGCTGAAAGATATATTTGTTGTTCTTTCCTTCAGTCAAGATTCATAGCCTGGGCAATGCTAAGACTTCTCAACACACTCTTGTTTTTTCTTTCTGCTTCTCCATTTGCTTGAGATCATAATGGAGTGGTGTGCCCGAGTTTGATTCCGTTTGATGCAAAGAATTCTTTGAAACGTTTGTCTCTGAATGCTGGGCCATTATCACAGATAATTTCATCCATAAGACCTTCTCTACATATATTATTACCTAATATTTTAATCGTAGTCTCTGAGGTTTAATTTTTTAGAATTTCTCTACTATAGTATATCTACTATAGTAGTCCACAACAATGAGTAAATAATGACCTGACGGTATAGGGCCTAAGTACTACAAAGCAACTAATTCCGAAACATTACTAGGTAGTTTTGTTGGTGTTATAGGTTCTGGGTAAACATCTTGTCTGACCAGTCGACACCCTTCGTATGTGTCAATCCAATATTCTATATCTTTGTCCATTCCTCTCCACCATACCTTTGATCTTAGTATTGATTACATTGAGTTAATAGAAAGTTGTCCCTCTTGTCCAGGTCTTAAAATTCTTTCCTTTTAATCATTTGGTATGATAATACTTGTCTCTCTTAATGTTATGTTTTTAACAACACATAGTTGTTTTTAATAACTTATATTTTCTAAATTCTTTTGGCCATATGACTGTTTCAAGATCTTGTCGTAGATCACATAATTCTTTGTCTTTTAGAGCAGCTTTTTCTATTTCTTTTATGGTAACTGCCCATGAGTTCAGTTCTACTCAGGCCATAAGTAGTTGGTCTTCATAGTCCTCAGTACTCAGTTTCGATGAGAAAACAACTAGTGTCTAATAACCTGGAGACTGGGTCAGTACTATTGGTTTGTCCAAGTTTGTAAATAACCTTAAATGTAAATAGTTGTAGTAGGAAGACCCAACGCTGTATGCGAGCACATGGTTTAGAATTACATATATAAAGTTTCACCAGCCCGTACAATGGCCAAAGCTTCTTTTTCATTTTGGGAGAAGCGTTGTTCAGTCGTTGATAATGCTTTACTTATATACTTGATGATGATAGGTTGTTTTTCACCTTTTATTATCTGTCTCTGAATCAAAACAGTTGCTATTCCTACTGGGCTTACATCGGTGACCAGGGTTGTTTCTGCATTTTTGTCATAAAATCCTAGTGCAGGAACCGATGCTATCAGTTGTTTTAGTTCTTGAAAGGCTTTGTTATGTTCATTACTCCACATAAAAGTTGTATCCTTTTTAGTGAGCTCTCTCAATGGTGCAGTGATTGTGCTGAATTGTGGTATGAAACGAGTTGAAAAATTTACTAAACCTAGAAAACTTCTTACTTCTGCTGTGTTTTGCGGAAGTCTGAACTCCTGTATTACCTGCTGATTTGACCTTGTGGGTTTTATGCCTGCAGCTGAAATATCGTGCCCAAGAAAAATTATCTCAGGGGACCCAAATGCGTATTTTTGTAAATTGAGTGTCAGTCCATTATCATACAGTACGTTCAGTACTTGCCTCAGCCTGGCGCCATGTTCCTCTTGGGTACACCCTCCGATTCGTATGTTATCTTGACTATTTGCAACTCTTTTGACACCTTGCAAAAGATAAGCTATCACTCTTTGGAAAATTACTAATGCACATCTTATACCATAGAAGAGTCGTTTATATCTAAACAGACCTAGGTTAGTGCTAAATACAGTGATATTTCTAGATGTTTCGTCAAATTCCAGTTGATGATATCCAGATTTTAAATCTAGGGTAGAAAAGAACTTACATTTATTTAGGCCCGCTAAGAGCTCTTTAAATATAGGCAGGGGAAGCGTTCCCTGAACACCGCTTGATTAGCTTTTTCATGTTCACCACAAGCCGATACTGATCCTTTTCTTTTTTCTTTACGATGTGAGACGAGGATACGCATAGGGTCAGTCCAGTGACAGGTTCTATAATGTCATTGCCAATAGTTCCTTAATAAGTTTTTCTTCTATAGGTCGCATATTAAAAAGCTGCGTTCTAACTGGTTGGGCTACAAGTTTAACATTACAAGTTAGGATTAATAGGAATAGTTAACTTAAATTCTTAAGTTTACCCATTCCCTTGGAATAAGCTTGGATATTCTTTAACATTACTATCTTTAGTTATTGATGACTTTAAAGAATAAATTTTATCAAATTCAGTAGAAGTTTTACCTACTCTCAATAAAATGAATTTTATTGATGTTTGTCTACTTAATAAAGATGGACCTCTTCCGTTATAGACCAATACATCCGTATATACTTTACACCCAGTATCTCAGCAAAATAACAAACGTTCCTAATTTGTTTTATTATCTCCCACCAATCCAATTTAACCATCTTTATAATATTCGAAACTCCTGAGCCAGTTTTTTCACAGTTCTCTCGCGTTAGGTTCACCAAACGCATTAAAAATGTAATTAAAAACGCACCCAATGTGCTCTATGTCATCTTAAATTATTCTCGTCGCAGTTTCTTACACCCCTGTGTTTTATCACCGTTTGTCACACGACCTCGTATTATTCTCGTCGCCAGATTTGTCGGGTAATGTACTGTACTAATTAAATAAAAGGCTGATTTAAGAAACACAGGTTTTAATTTTGACCTTTAGATGACAATTAAAATAGCAGCGAAACTCCTTGCCTTTTTGACAGCTGTCATTTGTGATACGTTCACAACTCTACAGATACTTTATCATTACAGTATATAGTAAAAACGTCTTAAATACCGTAGATCATCTGTAATTACAGCGAATTTGTAAGCACTGGATCCAGATGAAGTAGTGATTTGGCGGCTCAAATGGGAAAATAGTAGGTACCTATGCGTAGCGTTCGTATCTTAAATCCCCACGAACCAACACATCAAAATGGTAACAAATCTTATTGTACAATTTATTGCGTAAGCCTCAAGATTATAAACAATACACATCGATAAACCTAAGCAATAAATATACCGGCCTCACCTAACAAGTATTTGCAATCAGTTGAAAAAAAAATCTGTAAGCCGGTTTTTTTAAATTAATTTTGCATTTTAAATAATTAGAGCGTCACTGGTCCAGCTCAGTGTTGATGAGAAGTAATTGAGAGGTCCGGATAAACTTGGATTTAATTGAGGCGGTGCTGTGTTAGTTTGAATAAATTCCGAATAATTTTGAATTGTAGACTAAAAATAGATTATAAATAATCCTTCACCTGAGTGAGACAGGGTATTTTGCATGTAGGCTTATTTTGTATTAAAAAAAATTGAATTTATTTTAATTTTTTTCTATTACTGGGTGGATAAATAGTGGGCATAGGTATCATATAGGTACAACAGAAAAAAGTACCATACGGAACGATATGTACAGCTTTACGAAATAAATAATGAAAAAAACTTAAATTATTACAATTATTGGCAAGCAATACACAGAGACAGTAAATGAAAAGATAAAATATTTAAAAAAACAGGAGATGTAAAATATTATGACAGTAGTGCCGATTTTGCTGGAGTACCTATAATTATATTGCCCAGTCGCATAATATTTGGATCATTCTACCTCCGTGACGGAGTAAGCCGAATAACCTTATGACGTTATTTCTTTATACAAAACCAGTTGATAGATAAGAGATTTTGGGTGTTTAATTAACCATTATTCCCTTTTCAATATTTATATGAAAATATTTTAAAACATAATATTTAATGCTTTAACATTTCCAACATGATAAAATGTTTCAATTCTATTTAAGTATGCTTTGCGTGTAAACGTGAACGCTTTGACTAGCTATTACTTTTAGCCTTTGTTTAAAATAAAAATCATCAATATTCTTACAATACCATGTTTTTCCATGATTTCCATGTTTATCAATACTATAAAAATAAACATTGAAAAAAAAAACAAATAATATTAAGACGCAAATTTGATCTGATGAAACATAAGAATAATATTTCACTTATCAAAAGATGAAACATGTTAGATTATTATTACAATCAACCATAATATGCAGTAATAAACTACATTTACTAGATCGAGTTATCGCAGCACGTTTTTTAAGTCTGATGTGTTTGCTCAGTTTATTAAATCACAGGTTAGTTCTCAGTAACTTGTTTATAAATATAGTTTAAGTATCAACCTCTTCTATCTACGTTGGCTAGTTACCTACACATTGACATCTATACTTATTTTGAAAGAGAAGGTTTGAGTTTTTGTTCGTGAAAAAATTCAAATGTCTGTCTGACTGATCTATCAACGTATAGGTAAGATTTTTCTAACAGAATAGTTAGAAAAAGGCTATTCGACGGCAAATACCACACTGGCGCTGCAACAGTATAATGTTTTATGACGTAGAAGATCGCGAAGAAAGGATGTTATTTCCTTAAAGGGATTAAATGTAGATTATGATACTGTATAATCCACACAGGCGAAGCCGCTCTCGTAAAACTAGTTATAGATATATATAAAACCACTAGACTTATTTAAAAAAAAAAAACAGCGATATATAGACAGCAATATATAAACAGTAAACGAAAATATATACATTTTTATTTGTGATAGTATTTAATATATTATCGATATAATCACACTACCATACTTATTTTATATTTATTGTCACGTGACTGAAAGCAGCGTATGACTTCACAGTCCTCTAAGGAAGATTTACAGAGGTTATTTTAGATATATAGAAATATGTTTCACATACATATATCTATCAAATAAATATTTAATAAAAAATTGTCTACTCTCGTATTCAATGAGTAGCATAGTATGAAGTTGTTTAAAGATGTAACTATGACGTTTAATGAGTAGGACATGCAAAGCTTAGTTTTAAGTTATTTTTTTCAAATCTTCAATCAAAACTAAAATTTAGTTAACTACAAGTATATTTGTGTTACCTCTATCAGATGTGACCGCTATATATAACCTCTTCAATGTCTTAGCGTCCTTTTCATCTGGTTTGTCTTTAACTTGCTCCGGGGGCGGAGGTTCCTTAGCGTCCTTATCACTCGTCTTCTTATCCACAGCGCCCTTCACTAACTGACTCGACTCGTAGAATTTCCGTGGGCCGTAGCCGAAAGGGCGAGCTGCTTGAAGCTCACGTTCTGCCTTTGTGAATCTAACAAATGGAATAATAATTAAAAGTTTTCGGGTAATCTTTCACCTATTTTTCTTTCTTTAAAAAGAAGATATATAAGTATTCATTTAAAATAAAAAGACTAAAACATACTTCAAAAAGTTGAAGCTCACATTCTGCCTTTGTGAATCTCACAAATGGAATAATAATTGAAAGTTTTCGGATAACTTTTCACCTATTTTTCTTTCTTTAAAAAGAAGATATATAAGTATTGCTAAAAAAAAAACTAAAACATACTTCAAAAAGTAAGGAGATTATCCATAATAATCGGAGAGGCGGTTAACTCAAAAATCTTTATTTAAATTTGTTGTCACGAGTAATTAACTGAAACTTTGCTTAAAATCAAATATAAATTAGCAAAACACCATCTTCTGTTTCAATCAATCTCTTAAAAGGGAAGAAGACGGGTAGGTTGAGTTCATCAAATTTTATCTTCCATAAGTAAGGATCTCTTTTATAGAATATGGTATTTTTTTAAGTCACTTGCATTACAACTATAGGATTTATGCGACTTTGTTCCATCTAGTTCACTAGAATGTACCCGTAATCTACATTAAAAACATTTTAAAGTTTACTTGCTGGCGGACACCATCTTCATAGTTTTAGTGATCTTCTGGATATTCTTAATCGACTTCAGACGGAGAGAGACCTGTTTCAACTGCACCATTTTAAAATTTGGCTAATCCAATCCAATAATGCCTCGCCAACGTATAAATTATAATGATAGTTTGACCTTTTACACTTTATTTGTTAGTAAGTTTCGTGATGGGCCATTTTTAGTTACTCTTTGGATGAAGGCTCCTTAGTCTCTGGCCTTTAATTTATTTTAAAGTCCATTGAGTCTAAAAAGCTTGGATATTTTTTTTAGCTTAATAAGTTACCATTGAGATTAAAACAATATTTTTTTTTCTCTATGGTTGTAGGAAATTAAATAAAAACTTTTTAAACCATATTTAATGAATCTTTAATGAATACAAAAATTGTAGATACAAAAGCATAAACATTTATTTAGTTCTTCTATAATATACTTTTTGGGTAATATATATTATTTTAACCTTCGCATAAATAAAAAAAGTAGGTATGTATTTAAAAAAGGAAGATAACTCGTAAGTTACATGCTGTTATCTTGTTCATAATATTAATACTTGTGCAAATTGACGTTAAAGTTCATCCTCGTTATCATATATACATCGGTTATCATTCCCTCAGAAGAGACAAAACAGGTTATTCCCATATTATAAAAATAAAAGTAGATACTTAAAACTCATTTTCTTTAGTTCGGTCTTAATAAGAAAAAAATCGGTCGAAATATACTTGAAAAATTTACAGTGTCATTAATGAAAAATGCTTGAAAAATCCACTTGATGCAGGCACTCTGAGATAGGACTCGATCACATGACCTTTAGCAATCCGGGTGACTGCTCTAACCAATGAGCTACCTAGTAGGTACCTAACAGGACTGACGCATTCTTCAAGCTAATCAAGGTCACGGGTTAGAGTGCCATCTCAGAGTGCCAGGGACAAAGTGAATTTTTTAAAGAATATTTATAAAGATTTTTTTTTTAATTGCTAGTAATTCATTGAAAGTAGTTTTTGATGATTTGTTTTGACGATTGAACGCAATGTGCGAGCGTTTGTCATTATCTATCTTATTGACTGATGGGTTGATTTTGTCCTATTTCCTCTTTAGTTTCGGTTTATCAGCGCCCAGTCTTAATTAATGTACATTTAAACTAGATCCGCCTTATTAGAAAACAAGGACTAAAGTTAGTAGTTGGTTTAAACCATTGGCTACTTAAAGCAAATTGACAATTATAGAAAAGAAAACCCCAATTTAAGACGTGTTGACTTATTTCGGTCGCATTATTGGTTTAAGGGTACTTCTTGAAAAAGCAATTTTTGAGTGTCACAGGGTCATATCTCCTATAAAAATAAATTATTATGATAAAAACTACTATTACATCGTTTCTTCATTTCATTAAGCATCGTGTCATATAGATTTCACGGATAAAAAACGACGTAGATCGGAGTAACTTACCCTCAACACCTCAAATCCGGTCAATTTTGCACGTTTTTACCGTGTCACACGCGCGCCGACTTTTGAGCAATCGCAAATATTTTTGAAATTACCCACGTTTTTAATCAGTTTGTTACACACATTTAAAAAAGACAAATCGCTTTACATATTGATCAAATTTCAAATTAATCGGAAGGAAACTTTTGATTTTATGGTCAGAAGTATACGTGTCACACGCTTAGCAAAATTTTTGCGGCGCGCCTTGCGCGAGATACTGCTCTGAGCTGGAGAGGCGTAGACGAACCCCGATTGGTGTTTACGAATCGTCATTTACGCCGCAGCTAGCAGGTGAGGTGGCCACGTCGCTGTTACCCGCGCTTTCGTTGCGAGAATAAGTTCTTCAATCTCTTAAATTTTGGTTCTCAGTTATCCGGCTTTGCCATGTCACATTTTTTCAATATAATTGTACTTCTTCTAGAAAATGGGTTTTAAGGTGAAATACCTAGCTCTATAATGTAGATAAACAGTAAAAAACTAGCCGGTTATATCTTTTCAATGCAGAGTAATTTCAAAATATATGTTTTTTGGTAATTTCCATGGTGTAATTTCCATGGATAAAACATCATGGAAATTACGTATCACCCATGGAAATTACCTTGTTTCTTTTTGGTTGCAAAAAAACAAACGTTATGTTAAATGTTTGTTTTCAATGAAATGCACGCCATCGCCAAATACAGACTTAAATGTTGAATGTTGGTTATTTTTTTAATTAAATCGTCTTAAATATCACCGGATTAAGTTAACATATTATATAATTTATTTATTTATTGTAAAAATTTACTTTGATTAAACACTAAATTGGTACCTGTAGGGCCAATGGTTTTCTCAAAAACGATAGATAGCCAAGGGGGTTATCTTGACTGAAATAACCTCCTAATATCTACTTATGACCGGTGTTCGCTATCTATCGTTTTTGAGAAAACCACTGGCCCTATCGGTACCAAATCGGTGTTAAATGAAAGCCAATTAAATTTACAATAAATTAATTATTGATATTTGACGTAGAATGCGTATTTTATAAGATAATTGACAAAATAAATAACCATTTCGAAAAAGGGTTCTCTATGTCACTTCGAAACACGTTTCTTCGATAATTGATACATCGACAACTATACAAGTACGTCGAAGCCTTCATTGTTCGAAGTTTCAATGCATCGCATATCTTACTTCGACGCCCGACTTTTGTTTGTCCGATGTAACGTTACTTCGAAAAATTTGCCAGATGCTGAAATTTCAATGTTGGTCTCATAGTGAAAGTTGTTCAGTTTTATGGGCTGAGCTACCACCTGAGAGGTTTTGCGCTATTTCCATAACACGTTGTATATATTTTGTTTTTTGAGAACATGAACGTGTTTACGTTTCGTTCCAATTTTGAGTAAGTACTATCGTATATCGTTTCAGTATAATGTAGGTAGATCTTAATACTACCCTAACTAAAATGACAGCTTAATTTCATATATGGCATGGTGTTTAGCAAAATTTTATCTGCTGTGTAATTTCCATTGCCTTTATTGTAATTTCCATGGTCCGCCAATTTTCTACATTTTTTTTAGCAAAAGTATAGATCTCAGTCGTGGCCAATTTTAATATGTTGTTTAAATTTGCAGAAGTTTTCGAAATATTTATATAATTCACCATAATTTTGCGATTTCAAAAATGCCCTGGAAATTACACGGAGAACACATTTCCCAAGAATCACCCTTAAATTGAATAACATAAAGAACTATGACAACACCATATAATCCTAAGGATACATTATGATATTATACGTGATGTCACACGAGAATGTACATATGATACGAAAAAAAGTACTCTATAAATTTTTAGTGCGTAGTGTGGTATAATGCGGGCAATGTGAAACAAACTGAAATTGAAAGTTTGCGCATAATATAGTATCTGTTTGGACAATAATGTTAAACATGATGTTCTCAAACCTGACTGATAAATAAATAAGCAATTATGAAATAACACTAACGATAGTAGTGAAATGACCAATCGATTCTGAGCCAAAGAATAGAGGTATAAACGATGAGCTTACAATAAGATATAACGTCATGAGATTTGTTTAAGATGGTTCTCTAACAACATATTGACTAAGTTATATAACTGTTATTGTATTAGATAAATTTTTCATTGACAATGATATGTTGATATTTAATCTATATTATTATGTATTTCTTTGTCTACATTTTTCTATACAGAGTTTGGTGTTACGTTACTGATCCACAAACTTGTAATGGCTGTTATTAAGGATATGTTGACATTTATTTTAATTTCTTAAGCATATGTAGTTAGTAGTGGATTATATTTTTTACAAACTGGGCATATGCCTAGGAGAAAACTGATAATTATCAATCTACTTATTAATGCCCTGGGACACAAGCGTTTTTATGAGTAGAATTAAATCGAATTAACGTGTGAGCAAGCCGTGCGGATAGACAGACGTCTTCGGGTTACTTCCACACCTTGCTTACCATAGAGAGAGACGTGAAGACGTGACATAATAGTTATGCCTTTGCATTTTGCCCAGCCTTCTTCTTGGGAACGGACCCGCAATGGAGAATACTTCACCTAGCTGACCCGCGCTAAGTTAAGGATTTTTAAATTTTTAATCAAATTAGATTTTTTTCAAATGTCAAATGGAATGTCAAACTAATACGCAGTTCATAGGTGTGTGTATAAAAAAGTTGTTTGCAAATAAAACAAACGAGTTTGAATTGAGTGGCTCGTTTTGAAGTGTTAGTTACTTAGTAGTTTGTAAATTAATATATCAAAAAAATAATTATTACAGTATGATTTTGTAATAATGTTATTTAGTTGTCATTTTCTATAGACAAGATTTTTTAAATTGTTTTTTGGTATATTTTTTTATGTTCGAAATATTATATGTAGTATTTCTTATATAGCTTTCGTCTATCTTTTATCGGTATTACAAAATATATCGTCTATCGGCTCCATTAAATATTTATTTTGGCTGCTGGTAACTAATGAAGAGATTTTGATGAAAGATATATGGATAATTCTCAGCCTGAATTAACACTATACTTTTAATCCCACCAAAGCTTTCCCCTAGGGGCCGCGTGTGAGGCTGCTAAAGGAAGGCCAGTATAAAGATATTGGAATACAGTTGGAATCGTATTCAAGGTCACTCCTTGAGAACTATAATAAAATCTGGTCGAAACATATACTTGTAAATGATAAAAGTAAAATACTTGGAAAAACAACAAACTGACCAGTTTGGCTACGAACCAGCAAGATATCGCTAACCGTAATAGTGCCCTCCTAAGAACTATTGGACCTAAAGAGGGAGAATAGTAATATAGAAATAACAGTATTATTTTGTTTGTGTAGTTTAAACTATTACCTTGTATGTTTTATTGACGCATTAGATTGGTAAAACTTATCAGAATGTAGTATATATCGATGTAATGCGTACTGCGACTAACCGTCGCGTCACTCGCGACGCTTAAATATAGCGTGCGCACGCGTACCCTGACGTTTGTTTACCGCGGACTGTTGCGGACGAACGTTTACTACTAATAAGGATATTATTTTACAATCATCATGATACGAAACCAGCAGGAAGAGAAGCTGTCCAGCTCACCCCCCGATAAGGTAGAGTTTTATAACTACTTTCATTTTATTTTCAAGTCTTTCAATTAATGTAAAAGCTTTTATGATCTTGAAAAGTCTCAAAAATTATCTGTGAACAAATTTACAAAAAAGTATTCTTTTTTTATATTGGCATGCACGGTTTGTGCTTAGCTATTGACAAGTTTGGAAAGTGTTCTTAAATTTATCTATCAATATCATTTTTTTAAAATTCAATGTATCTTGGCGACAGAGCTTATCGAATTAGGTATAACTAATATTTTTTATGTAAACGACTTCGTTATTTAAATTTTTTACTCATGAATAATGAATATTATTCGGATAATATGAATTAAAATATTTGCTAGTTGTAATTGTCTGGTTCACGATATTCAATTAAGTATAATTATTGTGTAACTTGTAATTACTGGCAGAAGCGAATTCCAATGTATCGACGCATTGCATTTTGAGTCAATATCATTTTGTAGTGAATTTAATTTAGCGATTAAAATTGATGATTAAAATTAAAATGAGATAGAAAGAGAAGATGACGAATTACGCGTCAAAAACTAAAAGATATTTGTGGCCGGCAGCGGCTACAAAGTGGTTCATATATTTATCAAAGTTTCCTTTATAAAGGGTGTCATTACAATAAGAAATAAATAAAGATTTAGGAGTACCTTTGTGATTTTTTCTATCGAGAAAATTTTTATAAATTCACATTTTGGACGCGACAGAACCCTTAAAAATGTGATTAGTAATTTTCATTTGTACTCATTTGGATTTTATTTGTTTATTGTGTTTTTACAAAATAAATTGGTAATTTCTTTTTTTTCTCTCTTTATTTTGACACATAACAGTAATTACTTTATAATACTTAAATCGTTACAATATTTATTAGACAGTGTGTGTTTACTATTTTATATATAAGTAGATAACAAATAAATAACTGTTGTCTGACGAACACCCGTAAAGAAGGCAAATTGTTTGCACAACAATTAACTCTGTGTAAAAAAATGTATTTGACTTTAATAATCACAGTTTAAACTAGAAGAAAATACCAATTTGAAGGATTATTAGTTGCTTACTATACTATTTTAGTAAAGACTAGCTGTCCGCCAGCGGCTTCGCCCGCGTGGTCCGCTGGTACCTTATTCATAGATCTAAACTCCCTCCCGCACGAGCACCGCCCCCTCGGGACGTCCACTTCGCAACGTGCAGCAGAAATCGTAATATTTTAATTTCGCCATAACTTAAAAACCAAACGTCCAATTTTAATAATTCAAAGACCAAATATTATCTACATAAACTATAATTATTGATGAAAAATTTATTTTGATAAGGATTAATAGCATGAGTAAAATAACGCGTTGAAATGTAGTCCAAAAATATCAAGATTTTTAAATAAAGATTGGTTGTTGTGCCTCACTCGACATAGATAGTTATAGTGTGTCGCGGACTTTTTTGTAAATATTTATAAGATCTACAATTAATTAGAACATTTTATGTTTCTATCTGTTTTAGTTTAGGCATCTGTTTTAGGTCCCTATTTTTTCCAAAATAAAACAAAGCCTATATTACATGTGGATAATGTAGCTTTCGAATGGTGAAAGAATTTTTAAAATCGGTCCAGTGGTTTTTGAGCCTATTCATTACAAACAAACATACAAACAAAGTTTTCCTTTTTATAATATTAGTGTAGATTAGGGACTCAAGGCTACTAAGAGAACAGTTAAACAGGTCTATAGCAGAGAATTAACAAATGTACATGTTTAAATAGCGAGCCAAATAACTATTTGCATAATTTGCGAAAACGAGGAGGTAGTCATTTTTGATATACGCGCTTTTTTAATAATATGTATAAAAAGTAAATATTATCAAGCCGAAAAACAGTGCTGATTCGATTTTATGGACGCTCTAGCAAGAAAATAGTTCTCAATTCTAATGTTAAATATTCTCGTAATAATAGAAATAAATAGCTTTCAAAAAGCAAACCGGCGAGAGGGGCCCGCTTACGTATGATTCCGTCCCATTATCTATAAAAATTGACAAATATACTCTTACGTAATTACGTTTGTTGTATCAGAGTCCCCTTATTGTCAATTGTGTCTTATACTTGTATTAAATCTCACAATCTATGTATTTATGGAACTAGTTAGATACCGATATCGTCATGCCCACAAACATAAATTATACTAAAAATTCATAAAGGTTCTGAAGTGGGTGATATCAATAACGTTGACGTCGTTAGGTATTTGTCTCAATAAAGAGAGTGGTCGAAATTTTTTATATTAATTAAATTTTAAAATAAACGGCTTAAGATTGTTCCGATCCTATTGAACATTTATTTGTATAGTTTACGTCGAATTTGCCACCTATCGCATCTCACACCATTTCAGGTTAAAATAAACTTTAATCTACAGTGTATGTAAAACAATATAGGTGAAGTGCACGGTGCATTCTTGGTTTATTTTGACTTCAGATATTAATTGATTTAATAAACGAGCTTAGGCTTCGAAGATATCATAATGTATGTCGGTTGATCCTTAGATTATTTTAACCTAATATAAGATATCTTTATATAATAATATAAATCTAAGGGTTGAGTATACATAAACAGATCCCGTACGAGGTAGAAAGTGCGTCATGTGCGTTATACTTACCAGCTTATAACGCCATTAGTACACCAAATCATTCGCTTTAGAAACTTGCGAATGCGAAACAGCTGCGTCTTTGTAACGATGTTTTTCGCAGTTGCCCGCGAAACCTTACTGACAAGAACGCAGCTATTTCTACGAGCTAAGAATAAAGCAATAATTGTCATACAACTGACAAGTTTTTTGTTGTTTCTTGTTCGTAAGTGATTGCGTCGATAAGTACGGCGTATCAGAATGAAATCGAATGAGACAACCTCTGCGGTGGTTAGGAAATAATATAAGTATACCTACTAAATTAATGTTTATCTTACGGTTGTTGTGCAGCAGCCTTCCCATTGAATAAACATTCAATTCAGTTTAAGCGTATAAATGTCATAATTTGTTAACTAGAAAACTAGCCATGCAAATGTATAGACCATCCGTTAAAAATGTTAGTAAATTACGCTGTATACACTACTTTTGAATTATTCTCTAGCTTACTTACTTCTATAATAAAAAAATAAAAGGCACTATTCAATGAAAATGCTAGCAAACCAATTTAAATCCAAAAGGGCTATTCTGATGGCTTCACAGACATGCTGTCGAATGACCAATAGTCACATAAAACTGTGGAAGCCTTAAAAACTATATATTTTCTTAGGTGTGATTACTAATTAAAAAAACATTCTAATTATCTTTACGGCAGTTCAATCACGCTTGAAGGCAGTGTGAACAAAATGACATAAGTTACAAACACTTGATTTTTCTATGACTGTGTTTATTCCTATCCGACCACTCGAAAAAAAGTATTCCAAACGCAAGTAATATATTCCGATATAAAATAGGTTTTTTATAAACTACAGTAATGTCAAAGATAAGTTTCATCATAAAGTTGCGGGTTCAAAGTACCTGTCGTCATATCACTGAGTGCTTACAACACAAGCACACACACACAAACACACATATAGAGAGGGAGAGACATGTGGGCATATTGTTTAACAACAAAACCATTTTAAAACACAAAGTAAATATTGATTAACTATCAAAGATAATTACAGTTTATTTAACTATTTAATAAGTATAGTTAGTCATGCTAATTATGCCATTGTTGAATCGTGTTTTCAATAATACAAGTTACAAATATTGAACCCTAAACTAATTATGCTAATTACAAATAAGTTATAATTTTCACTTGTCGATGCTAGTGCCGAACATGCAAAAAGCTTTCTTGTTTTTGTAAAAATGTATCATACATTTTCAAAACTCTTACAAAGCAAATTAACAACTATTGATAAAAATTAACATTAAACGTTAACGTTGTCAATGTGATGATGAAATTCATTTCAAACCTAAATAATGTGGCCGAAGTTGTTTCTAACTAATAAATATTATAAGAAAAATATTTATTTGCATGCTGAATGTGGATCAATGACAAAACTTTGTCATTGACATCGTTGCTGAAACCAACCATGGTCATGCTCCTTTTTACAGCTTATCGTTTATGAACTACGTAACATTTTATCAGTTTTTTTATATGAGGTTTGTTTTTGACGTTTGGGCGATATCTTCGGGACGTCGACTTCTTGAGCGTGCTGTGTCAAAAGTTATCAACTTTCCAGTATCCATATAACCTTAATATCGTCACTAAATAGCACGCTTCCTTTATCACGCGCAGATACGTGAGACATAATCAGTTCACTCTAATGTTCTATAACAAATTGGTAAAATATACACAGCTACACTATCTACAGAATCGATAGTTCTGGAATAATATAAGATGAACAAAAGATAGCTTAATTAACATATAGATTGTCTTTAACAATGTTTGCCTTTACATCTACTTTCTTCCCCCTATTAGTTCAATATATATTGTACGAGATATCATGATTTAATATTGAGTGTCATATCGATTAAATGAGATTTATTAATTTAAAAAACAAATGTTGTTGCTTATAGCCGAAGCTGATGGAAGGAGGCAACTACATTCGCGAGGGCCGAGATTCCACCAAGTCCACGTGGCTATTGTTCTCACCTAAGGCGCCCGATAGCGCAGGCAACTTGGCCAAGTACTTAAACATATTCTCTACCCACGGCGTCAACTTAAGCCATATTGAATCCCGATCCTCTGTAAGAAGACCAGGTTATGAGTTCATGTTGGAGTGTGAACATGGTGCCGGCGATTTTGGATCAGCACTTGAAGAGTTGAAACAGAACGTTGGTTACCTGAATATTATCTCGAGGAATTACAAAGATAACCGATGTAAGTTAGAATGAAGAGGGAACTTTCAAAATTTTCTTTGGATAATTACCGTTGAATTAGTTACTTATGTAGCTTCAAAATATATATTAGATTTTTTTTGAGAAAATAAAAATATATTTAAACCATTTGTAAAGGATAACTCTGATTATAAGACCATTGTACTATATGATACCACACGGAAAGGTATTCAAGTTTTTATTTAAAAATCTTTATTCTAGTTATTGAACTATTTTTTAGTTAGCAGAAACACTTATTTTGAGGCTTGTTGAATTAAAAAAAAATGATTTTGATATACCTTATTTCACAGCTGCCGTTCCTTGGTTCCCGCGTCGTATTCGTGACCTGGACAGATTTGCGAATCAGATTTTATCGTACGGCGCGGAGTTGGACTCGGACCATCCAGGTTTTACGGATCCCGTGTATAGAGCACGTCGCAAGTATTTCGCAGACATCGCTTACAATTACAAGCACGGCCAGCATTTGCCACATGTTAATTATACAAAAGAGGAAGTTGCCACTTGGGGAGTGGTGTTCAGGAAGCTAACAGAACTCTATCCTACACACGCCTGTAAAGAGCATAACCACGTGTTCCCACTACTCATAGAAAACTGTGGCTACAGAGAAGATAACATCCCTCAGCTGGAAGATGTATCCAACTTCCTTAAAGGTGATACATTTTATCATGATCATCATTATCATGTATATCACCCCATCTGCACTGCAGGGGCTCAGGTCTTCCGTGCGGATAGTTTCCGTGTATAGGATGGGCTATGAACCTCTATGCTAGCCTAATGCGGATTGGAGGGTATAAAAGGCTGCAAACGCAGCCGGGACCAACGGTTTAACGTGCCTTCCGTAGCACACAGTAGCTCTAGATAATTTTGTTTTCGGCCACTTATTCTTGTGACCGACGCGGAAGCTGCTTAACAACAACGATCGCGGGTTGTGGCGCCTATCCACTATGCCACTGAGTTATTCATACATAGATTTGATGCTAAAGCTATGTTTTAAATTAGTTTAATCTAAATAGAATGTGCATAAATGACTACAGTACACAGAATCTGTATAGAATGGAAAAGCTACATATATTAATTGGAAAATATGTTGACATTTTCGATAAAAATAATATAGTACAAAGTTTCCATTCAAAATTTATTAATTTTATTTTTTCTCTTATTTTTTATGTGAGTAATAAATGTTTATGTCGCTCTATGTATCGATTCGCAATTGCTTTTATTTTTTATAATTTAATCCCATTTTGGTATTGAGTTGTTATCGTAGTTATACAGCATGGATAGTATAAACAATTCCCGTCTACTAACATAAATAATAATAAAAAAACTATATTTCCTAATAAATATACCTTCGTTTAACCTTGACTACGACATAGTTATTCATAACTTAACCATATAATGAAAACTTCCTGTGAGTAGACCTCATGATTGCAGTTATGATTTAATAGTTTGTTATTTATTATAGCCTTCTCGGTCGACTATTTCTCGAATTCTGTTTGAACAATTATGGACTATATTTACGGAACCTCTCACTAATCAACTGTTTTGGTCATAGTAGGATTAAATATAGTTCTGTGCATTTGAAAGGGTTAACTCTACAATTTTGAATTAAAAATGTATCAAATATAATTATAAATTTTGGTGTTTCTTTGTCATCAGATTGCACTGGATTCACACTACGGCCCGTGGCTGGTCTACTGTCATCTCGTGACTTCCTCGCTGGGCTCGCGTTCCGTGTGTTCCACAGTACTCAGTACATCAGGCATCACTCGAGGCCACTATATACACCAGAACCAGACGTCTGTCATGAACTCCTGGGCCACGCGCCACTCTTTGCTGATCCTGCGTTTGCTCAGTTCTCACAGGAGATAGGCCTCGCATCTTTGGGCGCTCCTGATGATTATATTGAAAAACTTGCCACGGTGATTGATTTAATTAATATGCAGTTATATATTCACTTATTATAGTTACATATTAAAGAAATATAATGTAATAAGTTAATTTTCTTTTTGATTAACGATTTCGGTGGTCATCCGTGGTGTCAGCCACAATCTCATGACGGTTTGAAGATGTCATCATATTTTGAGAACGTTAATACTCTTAATGATGTAAAAAATAGCTATTTCTATTTTAGTTTATCGCCAGTCATGGTGATTATCATGGTGATATCTTCGTTGTTCCATATTACATGTTACCTATTTAATTTAGAATCTGAGCTATGAATATAACGTTGTCTATTGAATGATATAAAAAAATGTACTAATCATATGGAATTATTGTTTAAGATGCATTTTAGAAATAAAATAAGTTTCCTGTGCAAATTTTATTAACAAACTTCATCTTTCAGTGCTTTTGGTTCACGGTGGAGTTTGGTCTATGCCGACAAGAAGGCGCCTTGAAAGCGTTTGGTGCTGGATTACTGTCTTCCTTTGGTGAGCTACAATACTGTCTGTCGGACAAGCCAGAGCTGAAGGAATTTGATCCTGAAATCACCGGCCTCACCAAATACCCCATTACGGAGTATCAACCAATTTATTTCGTTGCTACCAGCTTTGAGGACGCTAAAAATAAAATGATGTGAGTTTTAATTACCATATTTTTATCTGTTATTTTTTAAAGCGTATCGCTGTAAGGGTAGCGTATCGCGACAAATACTAATAATAAAAGAAAACCAAATTTTTCTCCCTGGTAACAAAATTTAAGAAGCCGTTACATTTTCTAGCATTTCTGATTTATCGCCATCCGTTTTTACCGTTCTAGGTATTTGCCCGGGTTGACCTTATTTAGATATATATATTCTATATTGTATGATGTGAAAGTCCACTAAACACAAGACTACATAATGCAGTGCTATTTTGTGATATAATCAGGCTCGAACTCGATGTCGAACGCAGCGCGGTCAGGGTATACAAGTTCAATGAAATAAAACCTTTATTACCTTTTGAAGTAGTTTTAATTTGAGAAGACTCTATGCTGTAACCGCATTGTCCTCGAGCAAATCTTAACAATATACACGTGAAGTTTCAAATATTTACTTATTTAACTACGATTAATATTTTCAGAAAATTCTCTCAAACCATTCCACGAGATTTCGGCGTACGTTACAACCCTTACACACAGAGTATTGACATCCTGGATTCCTCTAAGCAGATGAAAGATCTTCTCCGAGAGGTTCATCAGGAAATGGGCCTGCTTATTAACACCATGGACAAACTATAGGTCAAACAATAATTGCTATCTAATTTTAAGACAATCAAAATGTAGGTATCGTTCTATGTGAAAGAAGATCCTGTTGCCATTTGATTTAAAGATGTCATGGCGGGCTATTGTGTAGACCTCTATTAAGTAAAATGAATATTGAAGTGTAAAATTGACGCAAATTAAATAACAAACTGGAAAACAGAAAGAAGTTTTGTTATGTTCTTTCTTATATAACTTGGGATAAAGTGAAAATTGGGTCTCGAAAATTTCGATAATATTGGTCATATTAATTCTTATGATATGATAATTTTGTTTATTCTATTAAGTCTCTATCTTTCATCTAGTCATACCAAAGACCAAGAGTGCGATCTTTTTACTCTTTACCAATGGGACACGACATCTTAGCGATAATATGGCAAAATATTATGTAATGTTACTACTTTATTACATGACGTGAGATAAGTTAGGCGGTCGTATCGGACCCGTCGAAATAAATTAATATTATGTTATTAACAAATGAAGATATTAAAAATTATAATATAAGATTACCAGTTATAAAACATAAAATTAAAATATATATTTTTCAAAGATTATTAGACTAATTTATTAGTAATATTAGCTATTGTAACCCATTGTTTATTTGATGGATAATTATACTAAGTAAAGCCTTTATTTCGAATTTTAACAAATAAATTCGGCTTGTTTTATTGCTTTTAAGTTTTTCGTCAAATAGATTAAATTTTAATGCTGCCAAACGGCATTTTTAATTCTGTAGTTTAACTAACACACGTAGTAAATTTATTATACTATGGTATACATGAGCATTTTTTTTGATAACGAGTGTTTACTGACATCGTAATTATAAAATCAAATTAAATAAGTTTTTTAGTTGAGATTAACTGACAACAGAATTAAATATTTAGTTATATGATTTATTTAACTTTTACAATTTAATGGAATTAATTTAATTTAATTAATGTGGAAAAGAAGAGGAAAATGGAATATCTATGTTAATTGCGCCAATTCTAGGCATAAAAATAGGCAAAGGGGTAAGATGTTCTTCTATTATTAGGGTTTTACTTCTAAATCAAATGTAAAAAGAAACATATGAATTAAAGAGAACTCGTCAATTCATCGGATTCAACGAATTCTCGAGTTCTCGAATAAAATTATCTTCTTTTATATAAAATTTATATTTATTTATTAATTGTTGTACAAATATGTGAATTATAATAAAAGTGTTAATAAAAATCAAACAGCGTTTTCATTCAACATAATATATTTAATAATTTGTACAGCATAAAATTAAGTACCTAGTACTTGTTTAGCATAAAGACTGACGTGATGACACTTAGAAACTAAAACATAAATAGAACCGATGATAATGTACAATGTTTAGATATATAATAAAATGTATTTACAATACTGAACAAGTTAAATAACTCTATTATACTATAACTAGCGAAGTAATTGACAAAACTACACTAACATTGCAAATAGTAGTACATATAAGTCTAAGTAGACTATAGACCTAATACTGAACTCTGTCAGATTTAATTTAATAACCATTTATTATCCATGAAGTAGGTTTTATTTGATTTATATAAAACTGCAGAAAAAAGCAATAAACAGAGGACTTAGCATGAGCATAGTTAAAAGGGATTCGCTATTAAATACGGTAATACTTTATTAATGAATATTTGTAATACTAAAGTATAAATTATCATCGCCAGGGCGCATAGCGAAATATAAGTAAGCGACATTAGATATGAACCATAGACCATACACTAAGTCTGTCCAAGTCTCATATTTATTTATTAAGATACAAAACAGGATATAATTAATCCAAAAAATAACTTGTTATATATCTTGCAAAATCCAATTATACCCAATAATATGTATCTCTAGCATGATTAAAGTAGAGCAGTATTTAAACTAATGATATTAATTTTACGTTGAACTTTGCAAAATAGAAAAACAGCTTGATACTGATGTATGAGTTAATGCTGATTATGATGACATAATAACATATGTTTCGATTATGCGTTTTTTTGTTTTGTGAGCTGATATTGAACATATAGGGCACAAATAATTTATAATATTCATAAGAGACCTAAAATACACTACTGGTCGCATAACTATATCCTTTTTTATAAAGAAAATTAACAAATATGAGAGTCGCTTTGTAGTCTTTACAGATAATTTTTACTATAATAATTTGCGAGTGATTAATTAAAAATAGTTTTTGAAGCGTCATACCTACGCGGTCCTCTGTCTTAATCTATCGTATCGTTTTCTAGTCGTTTCTTTTATTTGTATAATTGCCTATACTTACGTCTTAAATCGATAACAGAAATAACAGTTAGAACTTATATTAGGCAGCTGTATCTGAAAGTTGTTCTCATATTTTCAATGTACTGGCGCCGGTGCAGTTCCTTCTATTGGATTTGAACGAACTGCCCTGCGATTCTGTGAAAATGCAAACCCGAATTCACTCAGGTGTCCGAATTTACAAAAAGGGCATCCACGCCATCTTGAATCGGTAATAACGTTTCGTGGCATAATAAAAGAGTTTCGAAATCAGATAGCAATAGAATATCGGAGATACATATAAGCTATCAATTTTGTTTTGTATCTTTATATAAGAAATGGAACCAATAGAATTTCTGCACTAAATAATTTAAATTGGTACACATGAGTGATTTTGATTTCTGGTTCGGATTTTTACAGAACCGCTTTGCCGAATTTGTGTTATGTACCCTTCTCTATACAACTTAGGGTTAAACACGATATGTCTTTATGAAGCTAGTATTTAAAATTTGTTACGGCGTGAACAATAAGTTAAATTAGTTTATAATTTTTGGTGTCTAAACTACTTACACTTCATTTAGCTGTGATTTTACAAATTAATCTTCTTACCTAAAAATATTACAATTGGCACAATTAATTATTATTGGCTACGATAATGTATCTATACACTTATTATACGAAAGCAATCCATAATATTTAAACTAAGACAGTACAAACAAAATATATTATTGTAATATAAAAATTTCACTATCATTTAACAGGCGAAGTATGTCAGGTTTGGCATATGATAATTAAATAAAAAAAAATTTACGTCACGGTTTCGACTGTTATTTTTCTTCTAAAATAACTATTCTAGAATAATGTGTAGTTATCACAAAGACGGCGTTAGTTTTGATGATTTTCGTATTTTATGAACATGTCTATATTCGATTAAAGTGATATGTTTTTAGCTCATAACGAAAAATCATTTTTAAACGAAATGAAATTAATATATTGGAGGTAGAGTACAAAGTCACTTGATGAAATTTAGAATATTGTGGTAGCCGACCTGCAGCTGTGTGTACATAAGAATCCTCTTTTAATATAAAAAAATGAAATCAGTAAACAATCAAAAGACAAAGATCTTAATAAACGTCATAAGCGTTAAACATAATATCATACACATTTTCATCGATAAAAAATAAAATCACATTCAAATCATGTACCAGCGCCATCTATTTGCTGATATCCTAAATTAATGACATTGAGTAGTTTCGTTTGTTTATATTCTAAACATCTCGATTTTATTCAACTTTTCGTGGTTTTTTATAATAAATTTACATCAGTGATCGATTTTTTGTAAAAGTAATAATATGATAAGTAATAATTTGACAAATCTACGATAAATTATTATGATCGCAGACAAAACGTATCACAGTTACTAGAAATAAATAAATAAATATTACTTTTTACAAAAAAATATCAAATGTTAAAAGCTGTCATAGAGTAAATATATTACAGGCTTAACCTAAACAGATCTTATAATATCGTTACATACAAGTTATGTTTACATTCAGAGAAATAATACCTATATAAATTGCGATGAACGAAACATTGGATAGATATAATACTCTATGTCATTTCCTAAAAAATGTACGACTAAAGTATATAATAATTTTGTTACATATTACGATATGAACACAAAGTTAAAAAAGAAAAAAATATAAATCTCTTTTATCGTACATTTTATTAGATTATCTTTAGTTCCAGTTTTCCAAATTAATTTATTAAAATGGCTACTAAATTACTCTAAAAATATAACAATAATACATGATTATAGGAAAGTCGATATCTAAGTATAAACAGGCAAGTATACAGCAGTGTACAAAGCATACAGGTTACCGTTGACTTTATGCAATATATTTTGACAAAAAATACATTATTTTAATATTTAAAATCGATAATGGAAATTTGACCGATGCAGATAACCTGATATGCTGACTATACTATAAAACCCAAGGATCAGTACTTGTTCCTAAATAAAAGCTAAGTACTTAATATCACTGGATATGTCAAAGCTAATTAGAGTAGCAGGAACGCCTCAAATACTAATGACAAAGGAGAAAAATGCAAGGAATACTATTGTTTCACTGGTTTTAATTGTCAGCAGATGACCATTTTCCTTTGTGAAATGTTTTGCGCCTATTAACGTAACGTATATATTAATTAACGCAATGTACCTAACGAATAGGCTTAATATTTAATTTATTTTAGATCTTTTATTAAAAATGGTTAAAGACTTTCAAATCCTTTGTTCGTTTAGAAAAATAAAAAAAAAAACTTAAAATTTTTTAGCTTGTTAGGTAGGTACATAAATAATATTAGGTTAATAGGCGCTATAACGTATTGTTTTTGATTTGGTAAAATAATTTAATTAAATAAATAATTTAATATATGCTAACATTACATTATAAGCGAGAAACATATTTCCATTGACGATGGACCTTACATAAAAAAAAAATGAAGTCAAATTTTAATATGTCGCCTTCTATTGACAATCAGAAACATTGAAACCGTAACTTGTCACCATAAAATACAATGCCATTCAGATTGTAAAACGCAACAAGTGAAATTCGAACCTAACATAGGAATTTGCTCATGAAAGTTAGGAATTAAGTTTCACAGTCCTTTATGTAACTTGCTTCATTTTTATGGTTCCATAATAAACAAGGAACCCATATAGTTTCATTATGTCCGTCTGTCCGTTCGCGGCTTAGCTCAAAAACTTTTGGTACTAGAAATTTGTTATTTGGCATGAGTATACACCTTAATTACGCCGACAAAATGGTAAATAATAATCGAAAAAAAAAATTTTTTTACCTTGGGCAGGTAAATTCTTTTTAGGGTACCTAGGGGCGGGGATGGATTCTTTTTCGTCTGTCAAAAACATGGCGGGGTTGAAGCTTTAAAGAGCTAATTTTTGTTAGAGTCAAGTCTCTCCCCCTACCAACAAAACTAACTAAACGGTCGTTGGTAAAAATTCAAACATTACGGAAGTTCATACCTGTATATAACGAAGTTAAAAAGGAAACTATCACACTTAAGTTGTTTTTCCAAGTTTATGAGTACTCGACCAATTGTATTCAAATTGAAAATTTTGAGCAACTTCATAAAAAACGACAAATATGATTATTTATTTTTTTAAATGGATAATGGTACGGAACCCTTCGTGCGCGAGTCCAACTCATACTGGGCCGGTTTTTTTATATATATATATTTAACCTTAAAATATACGGTGTCTCAACATAGAGGTTCATTCAAATAAAACCTACTTCAAAAGGTAATAAAGGTTTTATTTCATTGAAGCTCTAATGCTACTATAGTGTCATAGTGATGTGTTTGAGTATGTATTTTTACATAATTTAAAAAAGACGAAGACATCTCTTACCATAAAAAATATATTAACAACAAATGTAGTATATTATGTCGGGAAAAACTGAGAGTAAAATCTTGTATTATAATGTTGATTATCTAGCTTGCATAACATTTAGAATTAGATTTCATGACATTAGAATAAAATTTCATATAAAATTTAGAATGAAAATTCATATAATATTAGTATAACAATAGCATTACTTAATTCTAAAGCCGTTGTCATTTTTTCAAAGAGAATTATTTGTTAAAATAAATATTTACTTGAAATTATTCACATCTGAGGCGTGGTCCCCGTGCATATCACGTCTTATGATAGTTACACCTCACTTTGCATGCAGTGGATCGATGAATCCTCGGAGAGTTCATCCATGGAGGAATCCGTGAAAGAGGTCCCATCTGAAACATATTTGTACATATTTGTAGTATTTAGAAGATACTATGTACGTTTACATTTCATTGTATTTTTTGAATAACCTCCTTTTTATGTAGTTTTTTTTTTAATTCAACCAATCACAATTTTTTTATACTGAATTTGTTTTAATATAAAATTTGTGATGACGACCTAAATAAATAATAATACAAGACATTAATTTTGACCAAACGTTTAGGTCTTGTATTTAGGTATTTGTATATTTACTTGTGTTCAATTAAAAGAGTTTAAAATTTCCATTAAAACAGAATAAGAATAATCGGTTACCTATTGGTACAAAAGGTGGTTTGTTCTGAAACGAGTACGTGAGGTGTAGGTTGATGGGCCGGCCAAACCCCACCGGATCCGCGTCCCGGGATATCACTGTCGACAATAGCCGTCACATATCAAACACAAATCAATGACAGTTTGACTACTTCGGCTTTAGTCTAAAACACATACTGAAATTAATGGTATTCGCTATTGCAACGCAAGCTCGCGCAAGCCAAATAAAGCTAGCATTAGGTCATAATTTTAACGAAGACAATTGAAGGTAAGACGGTAGGTAATAAAGGTAAAAGATAGGTCTTAAATATAAAAATTCTCAAAGAATACGTTTTACATTTCCGTCTTGGACGAACTAAAGAAAAGAAATTGAGACAAATAAAAAGTCATATTTGTATCAAATGCATTAATATCCATCATTGTTTAAATATTTTTCATCTAAAATGTAAATAATACTAACGTTGATTTTGTTTGCTCTTGCCAGTGTGCTGGTGTTTCTTTTGTCGTGCACGGCTGTTCTGAAACCAGACTTGTGTGACTCGCTTGCTGAGGCCAGTGACCTGCGCGATACGCTCAAGGTCCTGTCCGTCGGGGTTTGAATCCAGCTGAAAGTTCGCTTGCAGCACTTGCAGCTGCTCCTCCGTGAAGGTTGTGCGGACGCGCTTCGCCTTGCTCTTATGGTAGCCTTCTGAGTCGCAACCATCTGTACCAATCAAATAATTGCTGAATCAACCTTAGGTTATAAAAATTTAATACAGGTTCTTTGTATAACAATCTATAAAGGCAATAAAGATTACTTTCAGAATATCTTAGTAGATTTGGCAACAATATATCACGGTCAAATTAAAAACTTTCACCAGACATTTTAAAGGAAAAAGTTATGGTTTATTATATTCACGAATAATACCATAACAGAAAGAGAAGTCTTCTTGATATCATAAGATTTCTACGTAACTGGTTTTCGTGGATATTCAATGTTTCCCCACGCAACAATAAATATTTGAAAAACTACCAAAATTCACAGTCAAAGAGTTCATAAAGAAAATTACCATCAGAAGAAATAGAGCCGCCGTCTAATGTCTCCAGGTAGTGGGGTTTACAGAGCACGCGGTCTTCGTGAAGAGCAAACTGTTCACCGGTGGACAGCTGCCGGCCGCACGCATCACATGCGAAGCACGCCAAGTGGTAGACCTGCTCGCGCGCCTTCCTCACCCAATCCGACGACGAGATGCCGCGGCAACACTTAGAGCATTTCGCGCCGAAACTTCTACGCAAATGCACACACATAACATGTGTAATTTAAAAATACATTTCCGATTTATTGGACTGAGTAATAGAAAGACTCCAAAAATCTTCCACACATGACTGTTGCGTTTAACTTTAATAAACATACAACGTTATTGATCTATACTCATGGAAATTTTACAATTACTGTTTTTTAATTATATTGCAATCAAATATCCTCGCCATAAGATGAATTAACAATTTATCACAAATAAGATGAAGCAAAGTAATGTGCTTTCAAATTAATTATGATCAGGAAATAGGGGTCTTCAAACTCGTGAAAATAATAAAAACAAATTAGGAGCATTATTAACATACCTAATGCTCTTAGGAATGCATTAAAAAACTTATCAATTTACAATCGTTATTATTGCGTAATCAATAAATTGAAATATAGCTTATTAAAGTAGTTATTGCAAAAGTACTTGCATTAAAAACTTCCTCGGGGCTAAAGTAATAATAAGTAATTTATGTAAATCTATGGCTATAAATTACATGGATCAATTCGCAGTAGCCTTTCAAACCAATTCGCATTTGCTCATGAAATTGTTTTTCGCATCGCTGGCAAACTATTAAGAAGTTTTTTGGTAAAAGTATTAACGTTAATGCTTATTTCACTAGTTAAGTAAAACAAACTCTTACTATAATTACCTTAGTAATTCTGTTAATATTGATGAGGGGTACAGGGGTAGAGAAAAGGTATGTTTTTAACTTGCACACCAGCAAACATTTTATTATCAATACGTTATAGTTATTCTAGATTATTATAGATCTCAGATCGTATTAAATAAACATGTTTGAGGGGCGACTCTTATCCGAAGAGTGTTCCCCGTAAGGATACTTAATGGGGGCGAACGGTGAGGTAAGAGACCCTGGTTGATATCGAGACTACTATCGAGAGACATCGAAAAATTTTAGTGGGTACTAATTGATCTATTCCCACTCAGGAGTAGATCCACATGGGATGATCCCACATAAGCTCGCTGACCTGAATTACATATTGAAGCGCGAGAGTAATAAATACATAATAACAACGGCGTACGTACGATGGGTTATTGTGCAATTAAACGAATGATGGCTTTAAAATATTCTAGTTGGTCAAGTGTCCTCAATCCACCGTAGCATCATGAGCGAGGCACCGGTGCATCAACATACATCGGTACATTAACACATGATCACATTTTTTGCTCGATGAAAGCGCATAGTTTATTCGTTAGTTTATTTGAGGATGATGAATAGAAAAAGAGGTGAATTAAATCTTTTGATGGCCCACTAGACTAGGTTTGTAAAATCATGGCCCTCATGCCCATGTAATAAACCTTTAGAAGTCTTGGTCACCCTGCCGCCAAGGTCACAAAGCCATGAGCACATTTAGGAGTACATCTATGACTATTTCTTGTTACATTGTTCATATTCTCTTCGACCAGATTCCAGCTCAGGCCATGATAAATACACGCTTCGTTAGCCACGATCCGAGGCCACGCCGCATCCGCTGGCCCCTGATGATTTATCATCTATAACAACACATATGTTCTTACGTGTCCATTGCACAATCATTCATATCGAAAGTTTAAATTGAACTGACAATGCGCATTTTTTCTTTAAGAGTACGTGTCTTTTGTGTAACTATTTTGAATAATCTGAATCAAATCATTGTTAAAATTGAACATGCGTTTGAAGCTGTCGCTCAAATTCTGAAAATGGTGTAGATATTGATTTATAGTTTGATGGACATCCATAAAGATATCCCTAAAGTATTTATTTATATTTTACAGTTACACAGGGATAACTCAACTAGATAGTTATCTAATGTCAAAACTCATATCCTCACAAAGTTGATAATTTATTTCTTTTACTATCACTTGAAAACAAACTTGGCTCACCAGTTTGTGTTTTAGTTATAAAAAAGTTCATATTAATCCTTTACACAGAGAAATTTAAATTGAAAAAGCTCTCAAAACTTGTTAAAAAAATGAAAGTTCATCTTTAATAAAAATAAATTAGTAAATCAGAATACGAGATCCACAAGAAGACTTCTAACTACACAATTAGTATATATACTCCCTTAAACAACCTTCGCTTAAGCTGCCGTTATCATGATTCATTACAATTTGCGGTCCTTAATAATCAATTCATTAAATCAAAACGACGGGGATTCCATTACTTCGGACAGGAGTACATAACACAATTCTTCTGACACTCGTGTCAAAGAAATACAATGTCTAACAAGAAGCGACATTCGTAGATGGGCGCTACACATAAATGTAAATTTCAAGTTGATTTCTTTCAGGGCAATATTCTAAGCTTTTAGAGTACTGTATCTCAAAAGGGAAATAGAGAACCTTAATAGGATCACTTTCGAATTGAATCGAAGCGAGGTCGCGGTTCAAGAGTGACGCAGTATTCGTACAGGATGACAGTATTGCACTATCAATTACGTCAACCTTATTACGTAACTTAAGACTACTGTATTACTTTAGATATTTTATAAGACCTTCGTGAAATTCTGAACATTTTCTCTAAATAAAGATTTTTTTTATCATAGTATAATGCTTTATCTCGGTTTCATAAAAATATCGAAGAAAATAAAAATAGAGAACAATAAATGTTCACCTTATTATCGACTCTGAAAATCGGAATAGGTATAGAATCATGTAAACATTTTCTATTCGTGACACTTCTCCAAGTCAATTACGCTAATATATGTACATTTGTTTATATTTAAATACTTTTCACTAAAATTATTGCAAGTCATCCTTTTTTTGCCGGATTTTAACAATCTTTTAGCTCTTTTTACATGTGTTAGTAGCACTGTCCACGGGGCAGTACAAGGACACCGGCGCTTGAATTCACACCTACAGGAAAGTCTCACCGCTGTGTTTGTGTAAAGTCGCCGAATTCCCATTGAAAGCGCAAAATCGCGTGTTATTCGAGTATTAATTTAGTTAGTCCACAATCGTTATCTGCCTTATCCACTATGCAGCTTCTTAAATTTGCATTTCAAAACAGTGCGTTGCGCTGGCGCAGTAGCCGCCCGCTTATCACCGCTTATTAACATTTTGTCGCCAGCTGAATCAATTAACTTTGCCTCTCGCATAATAATTAAACTAAGTGACAGATTAACAAGTTTCGACACTCTACTGTAATGAAGATGTTGCGTACCCCTGTCCGATAAACGGCAGTCGTTCACTATTCATACGCACGACGGTGGTCCCTTCTTAGCTTACTGTATCAGGAATTAGTAGATATATCTGGGTTGCACGTAAAATCATAAAGTTCGAATCAAATTCATATCGAGCACGTTTTTGTATTGAAAATTTCACTTTTACATAAGTATTACACTGAGAAAATCCCCTTCACGGAACTTTTTAAACCATCGTTTACGCATCCCATGCCTAACAACCCTTTCTCCGTATGCATTCTAAATAATTTCAGAGGTATCGGCAGCATTTTCTTCAGATAAAACGCGAAGTGGACATCGTATGAAATATGGTTTTTTGTGATGTTTATTCTTTTTCAGAAAAAAACCAAATCGCAGTGTAATTAATATAGCTAAAAATATAATCTTTATAACAAGTAATAGGCAGGATGATAAATCACATTTGAATGATTGTTTCTGTTGTATAAAATCTAAAGCTCATTTTTTGCGCACCTGGTATTTATAAGTGTACCTGTATCAAAAATGTAACTTATATGTTAAAAAATAGATCAGTCTTGGAACTAAATTCTGCTTTAAATTTTCACGCATTTCATTTTTTCATTTCATTATTAGCATTTCAGTAACAGCTTTTTTGACAAAATACTTGAAACTTCTATACATTACAAAATAATAAAAACACTATCATCATTGATTTATCAACACAACATTCGTTAATAACATTTGGCGTCAACAATATTAGTAAAATGCTAAATTGAAACATCATTGAAGTACCGTTATGTTAACATTAACAGAACCGTAGTGCTAACCGGTGTGTCCCGAGCGAGTATATGACCATTTGGGCTCGCTGCCTCTCCTTTTTACCTCGCTAATCTTGAAAGTAATAGTTCGAAACTGAAATCGAACGAGTTAGTTCGCGACTACCAAACGGACTAGTTCACATTTGTAAGTTCGTTTAAATTCCTAGCTCTTTGTAGCAGGAGCAATTTTAAAACAAACGAACGATCTGCCTTATATTGAATTATGTTAAGGCAGTTCGTTCGCTCGTTTTAATAATGCTCCTTCTTGCTGTGACAAGATTATTGAACATTGTACATTTACATCAAATTTTTGGACACAAAAATAACATGTATAAACATATGCACTAATTATTCATAAAATATATTTTTTAATATAAATAAGTAGGTATATTGTTCAGACTAGGCAGTGAATAATATATTTTATATTTTTAACTAGACAACATTAGTTCGGTGGACTTCATCTTTACTCATTCTGTCACGAACATATGAACTACGGGACGGGAAATATGCGAACTAGTTCACGTATTTCGTCTGTGGTAGCCAGTTCTTCGAACTCGACTAAACCTATACCTCGCGTGCCTCACAATTACTCTGTCTTCGGTGGACTTTAAGGACTATGTAAACTACAGAAAAGAAATGACCCCGTTTGCTTGACGAAGTGTTATATAGATTGTTATCCTCTGATAACGTATCAGTTATCACACGAGCGCGATGTAGCACGTCGGCGTCGGGTGCGCGCACGCTGCTGCCGCAGGCGTCCGCCATAAATCCTCTCTCGTTGATTGCTTTCTGCGCGTCTCCCCCTGCCCCACACCCCCGCGGCTTAATACCCATTCAGCCCGTCCATTCACTCGACGACATGATTTAAGTTATTTGTTTTAGATACAACTCCAATTTGAGATTCATTGGAATATTATACGGAGGTTGGTTGATCCATATCGAGTCGGAGATGGGTGCCGCCGGCCGCAAAACAACTGTATACCCAATAAACGGCTTAGAACTTATCATCGATTTATGGAAAGTAAGTTATATCGATAAAGTTTATCAACTGACACTTTGCTATACTAAAATAAAACAGCCTTAAACGCGTAGTATCACACAATCACACTGTAGAGATTCAATGAAATAAAATCCCATCAACAAAATAACATGTACGAAAATGCAAAATTTTCACAACGCAATTCAAATTCTTCGGCCGTAAAAATATATCAAATCAACTTAAAGTCGATGAATTCAGTACCTATCTTTTTGTGAAAGCAGCTATCTAACCTTGATTTAGGAATACTTAATCAACGCACACAGTCCATAATATCACAAAATCAATAAAGCACAGAGCTCATAACTTTAGATGGATTTATGGATGGATTAAGGTATCATTCTTTTACTATACCTATGTGTTTGCCAAGTGTTCCGAAATCTATGACAAGGCTGGATAGTTACTCTCACTCATGAATTAATCTACAATAAGTCAACTATATTCCTCTTCTTTTTTAATTAATGGCTTATCTTCGCATATCGCACAATTCTGCCAATGTCAATTAAATATATTAATTTTTACATGTAAAATGAAAATGAAATCAACTATAAATACAATCAAAGTTGACATTGATTATACTCCATTAATTATAGCAGTAGACAGAATGAAAATAAGGTTCTTTTTATGGTATACTTTGTGACAAAATGTCAACAACCATGTTACTCTTAAGACTAACGGCTAATTTGCTACATATCCACTTAAATACCAGCTGCTATACTTAACAGTAGTCTTTTAAGCTATAAATTAAACAAATTTATGAGTATTTGACTGACTTAAAACATTTAATAATTATTACAATAAAAAGTGGTCATCGTCCTAAAGAAGCAGGGTTAGTCAGTTTCGTTACCAAAATTTAAACGTTGCCTAATCCCTTCAAACGTTTCGGCAGTACAGCTTTTTAATTTTGTCAGATTATGATTTATTCATAATAGTCAAAATATGTAATCTGGGATTGTCATTCATTGTGAATGCTACTGCCTTTCTTATTGTTTTGTTATTGTCGGTGATTGAGTAATTAATGTTTTATTGTTGTTTTCTTATAGTTTTGTTTTAGTTGTTATCTTTATGTTGTTAAGTTTTGCTAAATTGCGATTCCGGTGCAGGCCCGAGTGGTCTACAAAAATTATACTCTAAGCCCCCATGCCTACCCTCAACCATTGACATTTCAGGAAGTTTTTCCAATGTCTTCATCAATAGTCTAACTAATTACACTTACAATTAGAATTTATCAAAACAACAGATAGATAGTTTCAGTTTTAGTTCCATTTTGGCTTGGGAGTAAAAGATGAATTTATAAAATGCTGGCCTCATGTCAAACTGGTATCGTAAAAAATAAAAAATTGCCCAGCTCTTTCAGACTACCTAATGTTCAAAGTTTAAAAAAAACTAATATATTTTTTTTTTAAATATCTTGAAAATAAAATGTTCTGAACTGCTGCTTCAGTTACACTCTTTTTTCTAATGTTATAATGAATGTAGTAAAGATATAAATAGTTTAGGTATGTCATTCTCGAAAGTGTCAAATATGCGGTTAGCATTTAAAACTAAAGAATCAACTGAGCCTTTATCTTTTATGTATCAAAAATTATACCTATGGATATAATAACGAAGCCCATTTGATTTCGTTTATTTTACGCTCGTTGGTCCACTCTGTAATCCACATATATTTATATATCTATGGTATGCATACCCGAAGTTTTTGTTATGGTAATAAGTTCCTTATCATAGATTTTTATGTAGGTACTCTTTGATAAATGTTTGTATCATACTCGTAGTGTTAAAATTCTCTTTGATTTGTGTTACTGAGCAAAACATTGGCGGATGTTTTCTGATTCATCACCATCTTTCATTCATTTCATTTTCATTTTACATGTTGTTGATATATGAGTCAGTCAGTGACAAAATTGATGTATTTGAAATGCAATAATTCTTAAAGTACTCGTTCAAATTTAATGTAAATTGGTAATCTTCGTCGTTATGTGATACCCTCTTGGTCACTAAAAATTTAGGCTTATAGTTTACTCCACAACGAAGTTACGTGGTGTCGAAAATGGCCCGAATGGCTTCGAGAAAAGTACAGTACGGCGGTATCCCCAGATCTTTGTTACCTAAAAAAGTAGGTTTTAATTGATCAAACCTCTACGCTTTGACAGCACCCTTCTTAACGTTAAGTTCAACTCTGAATTTTTCATTATTATACATTGTATTGGCATCAGAAACATATCGATTGGTATACAAAAAAGTATAGTAACCCATTAAAAACCATAGTTCGATTCCGTTATTTTATAAGGCGTAAGTAAAACTATTAAACTTAAAAGTCAGCGATAGAAAGTTTCAATATTGAAATAGTCATCATGATAAGATAAAATAAAGTAAAATACGAGTAGATCTATATTGTAAATTCACTTATAGTGAGTTTATCGATTTTATGGATTAATTTGTCGTATAGTTGCAATTTGTTTAATTTCTAAACTATTTGAAAGACAACGATTTTGAAACGATATACATATAGGTAACGAGCGTTACCCGCGCTCCAAATTGCCTTGAGGATATTTCATTATCGCTGGCTAACAAATATGTTATTTCAGGGTCAATTAACTTAAAGCGTGTACGATCATTTATCTTAACGCGAAGCAATACACCATGCTCTTTATAATATTCACGATATCAAACAATACGTTATTGAGAAATTCGCACGTCATGTGTCAGAGTGATTAAGTGCGTGTCTATTAAACCATAGTACCATCGATACATACTCACTGTTAAAGCAACGTTTTAATGGAGGACGCGGTTTAATTTAAATATGAAAGGTTTATGTGTATATTTACACATAAGACACAATATTATTTGTTCTGTCAGTTGTTTAGTTACTCTGAGAAAAAACTCTGCTCAAAATGAACTAGTTACTCGGTAGCAAGAAAACAAAAATATTTTATTTATGATATTAGTCTTCTTTATATAAATAAATGAGGTTGCAGTCGATTGTTGTCTAAATTCTGTAATTAAGATATTTTGTTTATATACTAAATAAAAAAGCTCGTAAGTTTCCAAATTCATATTGGGTCCGACAGTGTTAGTACAAGTAGCCGTTTAATCACATAAATTATTTATACATTCACAAGAGTATCTGATCATGATAGAGCAAACCGTTTACGATACAGATCTCGTTGCGTACCCGGCCGGAGCACGACAGCTTGAATCGAATTCCCATTGTTTAATATTCCGTATAAATCGATCCTTTGGTGAGTTTATTTATGCGGCTAGAGATTAATTAAACTCGGGGGCGACATGGGGCATTTACATAAGACATGCCGAGCGCATTTGCAGTGTGGGCGAAGACATCGCGTGAGACGCTGAAGGACCGGAGTTGCACCGTTAAGGCCGTATACGAACTAAGTGTAACGTATCGAACGCACGCGGATGATGCGCCTCAGTTAGTGCGCCTTTTTATAAAAAATAAACTATTTTAGACCGTTTTGAATAGATATATGAAATTCAAAATAAAGTAGTGTCATGTGGAATACGCAAAATCTGTTTAAATTTCTAGAAAATAGTTCACAACCAAAAAATATAAGAAAACAGTGTCAGACTGGGAAAGGAGGAACACTATCATTTAAAAAAAAAAATGAAATTAGGTACTTTGCGGACATTTACAACCTATGCTGATTTTACCCACTACTATTCTACTGACTATAAAACGATATTTTGCAAATTCTGAGGTACATACAAAGTAAGAACATTCTAGATATAGCGCACAGTCAGAAGGCACGAACACAAGCATTACAAGATTTTTTCTTGATATCTCCTGATAGACCATGCAGTGTCAACCCTATCGTATATTTACTTGTAGTCAGTGCTCAGGTATTTTGTAGAAACGAACTTTTTTGATAACGGTATTAAATCAAAATAATTAAAAAAAAATCTTTAAACCGGGTAGTTTATTTATTTCATCACTCTTGCCTGTCTACAGAAAAAAAGAGCATGACGCCTGGCTACCAGATAAAAAGGTGCGCTAAATAAACAATGAACAGATGATATATCAACGAAAGCAATTACTGTGGACGCCGCCGGCGACCACCGATTTATGCCGAACTGGAAATATTATTTAGTCTGCGACACGGGACGGGTTAACGAGCCTGGTTCATTCAAATGGCAACATTATTGGATATGAAATTAGTTTTGGGTCATTTTATGCACTATGTTAAAAGCTATTTCACGCATTATAGACACCCAGCTTGCTTTAATTTCCTACAAGATAGTTTTTTTGTTGGTCTTAAATATGAGCAAAATTTCAAATCTGTTGCTTCGAAAGAAAAACGTGCTTTTGGTGTTGAGAATTTCATAGTCAACAGTTCTCTAATACATTTTTCCGTGCACTCTCGTCGTTTTATAGAAATACGCAAAACAAAAAAAAAGTAAAATTTAACCTCGGATAAAAAATATCGCACTTTTCTATATCATACTTTTATTGACGTATTACTTACACATATAGACCTATTCAAATATCTTTAATATGTTGGAAATTAATGTAAATTGAGAGCCATTATTTTGTTTTGCTCGTATTATATTTCGACCAAAGAGTTTTAATAAGTCTTCTAGTCGTGTTACTTGTCAAAGTTCTCCATCGTGTACCAACAAAGCAAATAATCAAGCGCATTGCTCAATACATCTCGTGCTTGCCACTTAATGTCAAGGGCAAAGATTATACACACTTGCTTTCATCAAACCGCGACACCATGATTTGAAATAAAACCATGATTATCAAATAGTTGTGATGATTTTATAAAAATCATCATTA